CGAGCCCGTTCGCGCTGGGAACGGCGGCTGCAGCGGAAGGACAGCCGGGAGCCCCGGCGCTTTGGAAGGTTTTCCTTGACGAGAGGAGATTCAACGAAGGGAACTGGCTGCTCCGAGAAACCCTGGGCTCTGCTGCGGCCTCTGCGGTCACCAGGAAGCTCCCAGGACCCTCTGTCCTTGGGTTTTCATGTGGCGTCGCGGAAGCTCTTGCGGCGTCGCCACCAGAACACGCTCTGCTCTCGTTTGGTTGTTTCTCCCCAGGCGGCTGCTCCGTGTCCCCTGGGTGACAGCAGCGGCTTCGGACCCCGCAGGGTTTTCCGACGCTTCCCGGCTCCCTCCTCATCCCTCTGCGTCCGCAGGACGGCAGAGCCGGCAGTCCCAGCCCTTACCCATCTGTTTGCCCTTGCTGTGTTGCAATAGTTAAACAAACTCTATTTGCCGTGGGTGCTGCCTTGGGGACAGCCAGCTCCGTCTGCCCACGCAGGGACCGCGGCCTCCAACGCGGGGAGAAGCCGTTTGCCCAGGTGGCCTCTTGGCTCCGTGGAGCCTTTGGGAGCCGCATGCAGCCAGTTTTCACCGTGGAAGGGCTCGGAAAAGGGGGGTCCCCATCTCGCTGTTTTGCACCTCTTTTGGGGTGTAATGCCGTGTTGGAAAGACCGAGGCCTCTTCCCGGCGCTGCCCGCTCGGCCCCGGGATCCCACGCGGCTCCGCAGCGTAGCCGGTGACGTGGTGGCAATGGCAAGAAGAGCCCTGGGTGAAAAATCTGCAGTGCTGGGTTTCCTCCTTGACGACCAAGTGCTGGGCTGAAAAAATATTTTCCTTGTTCTTCCCCATTGGTCTCCACCCGGTCGGAAAAGCCGTTTCCAGCAGGACGACGTTTGGGATCTGATGAGCGACTGCGCCGGAGCCGGCGCGGAGGCCGTCCCGGAAGGCGGCCGCGCTCGTCCAGGCCCGGTTTCTCCTGGGGCTTTGCCGACCCCAATTCCCGTGGTGTGCCGAGGGATTACGGGATTTTCCCTCCCCGGGATGCGGAGAGGTGGCGCTGGCCGGGGCTCGCGCCTCCTCCCTGGTCCCCGGTGCTGCCGCCGCGCTGATCCGCCGCGTTCGGAGCGGCCCTGGCCGTCCCGGCCCGTGGGAAGCCGCTTGCAACATTTGAGGATAATTTTAGCCAGGGCAGATTTCGCTAAGCTGCCCAGTTCGGATGAGCTCTGATAAAGCCACGGCGGGGATTACTGTGGTTAATTGAGCACTTGGTGTCTTTAGCAGTGCCTTTTTTAAAAAAATATTTTTTTCTTTCCCCTCCTGCTGGATTCAGACCTCCCTTTTCAGAACTGCCGGTTTCTCCCCAAAATGGGATTGTGCCCAGCTGGGTGCTACAGCCGATGCTGCCAGGAGGGACCAGCATCCCAGGAGGTGTCGGGATGCTGGGGGACCACGGCAGCCCTTCGTCCCCACCATCTCCTCCTCATCGCATCCTGGACAAGCTTTTCCCCAAGGAGCCATCCAAGCGGTGGGAAAGAGCCCTGGCTCCAGTGTCCTGGCTGCAACAGGGATGAAAAAGTACCCGCAATCGGAGCAGCGAAGCCCTGGTGCTCTGCCTTTCCTCCTAGCTTCACCTCTTCCCTGGAAACCTTTCCCTGAAATGGAGAAAATTCCTCAGCTAACACTTTAAGCTGTTTTAAAGCCAAGAGCTGCTTTACAGGGCGTTTACACCCTCTGCTTTGAGGACTTGCCAGAGGGAGAGGTTTGGAGTGCAGGGCTAGAAATATTGCTGCTCTTGCTGATAGGTTTTTTCCCCTCTGGAAATACCTATGGACAGCATTCCAGGTGACGCAGGGCTTCCTCGGAATGTCCGGAGGAGATCGATCCGAGAAGGGGACCTTGAACAGCCGGGCCGTTCCTTGCTTGGGGAGCGGGTGCGTCGGGTCATCGTGGACCTGCCCGTTGGCTGCTCTTATCTCTCGGTACTGGCTCGCCCAGCGGTTTCCTCCTGCACAAACCAACCCAAGAGGGCCGGGGAACGTCCCCCTCCTTCCCCAGAGATGAATTGCACGAATCTGGATCGGGATCACGTGGCATCTGCCGAGAAGTCTGCGCCGGGGGGCAGATGCCGGGCGATACCGTATCTGATGTGGAGGAGCTGCTGAAATCCTTCCTAAGGCAGCGCCCGCCAAGAAACACGGGCTTCTCCCCCGGGTTGGGTAACGGGCTGGGGCTGGTGCCAGCAGATCGGGGCTCCCCGCTCCCTTGGAGCCGTGTGAGCTGCTTGTTTTGGGGTGCAGATTGGGGCTTTTTAGGCTTTTCTGGATGTTAGGGGCTTGGTGCTGGGTTCTTTTCCTCCTGTCCAGCCTCTGGAGGAGATGCCGCATGTCCAGCGCTCAGCATCCCGTGCACGTCCTCCTCAGAGTTAGGATTAACCTGGGGCTTCGCGTCCCCGTTTCCCGTTCTGGAAAACATTTCCGTTGACGGAGGGTGGAGGCCCAATCCCAACACTGTTTGTTGACCCAGCAGCTGGGTTTCTCCAGGAGTCCTGGTTCCGTTTTATGATCCAGGTAACCCCGATGGTGCCGTAGCCATCCTGAGCTCGAGCTTTGAAGTTCATGGATCATCTCAAGTAAATAATTCCATTCTTTTCCCCCTTGAAGGCTGTATCCCACATGAAAGCTTTCGAGGAGCTTTTGGGATTGTCCTGACACGGCAACCCCATCCTCGAGGCCACCGAGGCTTCTCTCTTTCCATCATCTCCACGTCCCCAGGGCTTCCCGAGGTCTCCTGGGTCCATGGGGATGCTTTGGCAATCCCGCTCCCTGCAACGATGTTTTATCCCATTTACATGGCAAAATTAAATCCCGTGAGGCCACGATCAGAGGGAAGGGCCCACATGGGGCCCTGGGGTCAGCTGCCAGGGTGAGGGTCTCCATATGGTGGCATGATGGGCACGGGTGGCCGGCTCTTTTCCCGTTGACTACTTCACATGAGATGGCTGCAATAGTGGAGGAATTTGGGGCTCTTTTTCCCCTTCTTTCAGCCCAGGGCACTTGAATATGAAGAGATGCTGGTAGGTGCCGGAGCCTCGAGTTGCCTCTGGCTGAGCAAGGCAGGAGTGGCGGCTGATTTAGAGCTTCTCTTACAAAGGAAACATCTGTAACGCAGAGGACACTGAAAGTCAATGCAATGTCAACCGCTTTTTGTTGAAATGTTCCCTCTTGCCTTCTCTCTGGTCTTTTTCCCCTCTGCTTTTTGTGTTGGTTTTGGAAGGAGGCGCTGTGTTTTTTACCCTGCGGAATGCCCTGCTCCTGGGGAAGTGTTTGGAGAAGCACGAGGGAAGCAAGAGTTTCTGCTGGGACCACCCCAGCTTGCCTGCTCTTGCACTTTTTTGGGGGGGAAAAACATGAATTTGGAGCCGTGGGTGCTGGGTGTGTTGGACTGTGCTCTGAATAACCCGGGTGTTTCTGTGCGTGGCTTGTCTGGAGGGTCGCGTGGCTTTTGTGCTGTGTAAATGGGGCAATTTCCTTGGCAGGAAGCTCAAGGAGACAGCGTGGCCTAAAGAGGATGTTTCAAGGCTTTCTTGGTGCTTTTGTTTTTTTGATCTCAGATATTGGGAGGAATCTGAATCTCAAATCTGCTGTAACCTTCTGAAATGATCGGGCAGAGGAGAGGACCCACTCTGGGGCTCCGGTAGCCACAGCCCTGTTTCTTGCTGGGTTTGGTGGTGGCCTGAAGGGAGCTGTGGGCCGGAATAGCCTGGAAAGACGCCGTGCCATAAGGAGCACCTGCTGATTTAACCGTTTGCTTCCGTTTGCGCTTTGCAGCAAATCCAGTTTGCAGATGACATGCAGGAATTCACCAAGTTCCCGACCAAGACCGGCCGTCGCTCCCTGTCCCGCTCCATCTCACAGTCTTCCACCGACAGCTACAGCTCTGGTAGGTGCCAGGCGACTTGCCCTCTGTGCATCCTAAAACCTCTCCTAAAACATCTTTCACCAGGTGCTGAGCACTGGATTTGGCAGAAATTTGGGCTAGTGCAGGGCTGTCCCTGTGCAGCGTCCTCTGTGCCTGGAGCAGATCTCGCCTAGCAGTGAATTTGCCCTCAGCACAAGAAAATCTCTTCGCTCCAGCACTTTTGGGGGAAGGAGGAGTGTACTGGATTGCTTCAGTTCTGCCTAGTGGCTCCAGCAAAGCAAGGCTGGGTTGGGTTTCAATTTACCTGCCTTCCTTTCAGAAAGGTTTGATAATCGGCCTTGTTTGCTCTCATAATTAAACTTCAATGTATGAGTTAGCTTGGTAATTCTAGAGGTAACATGAGTGCAAGATTCATTCTGGGCATTGCCTTTCCTTATGAAATCCGTAGTCTCAGACATTATCACGTACGTGCATGAAAGCCTGGAAGTGAGACGGGATATAAATCCACGTGCGCGGTAGGAAGTTTGCAGCAGAAATCCCGGGATAACACGCGTCTCTCTTCCGGCTTAGCTGCCTCCTACACGGACAGCTCTGATGACGAGGTGTCCCCCCGTGAGAAGCAGCAAACCAACTCCAAGGGCAGCAGCAATTTCTGCGTGAAGAACATCAAGCAGGCAGAGTTTGGGCGCCGGGAGATCGAGATCGCTGAGCAAGGTGAGGGTGGAGTGTGGGGCTGGACCTCCGGAGAGCGGGAGTCGAGCCAAGGCATTTCCCGAAACTCCTGCTGGGCTCCGGCCTCGGCTGCCTCGTCTCCACCCCTGGATTGGCAGATTCTGTGGGGAACAGACATTAATGATGTGTTGCATCCATTCTCCTAATGCCAGCAAGGCTTAATGTTCTGCGGGGTTTGGAGGGGAAACCCTCAATGGGCAAAGATCTTGCAACGCCTTCAGAGACGCTAAAACCGATGGTCTCAACCCCTTCCCTTGGGGCTTGTGGGAAGCTGAGTTGCAATTTTAGTGAGGCTGGTTGGGTAACTTTGCTTTCAGGCTCCTTTTAGCCGCGTAGTGCCAAAGCTGTGGAAGGGGGAGATGTTGCAGGCATGTTTAGAGCAGCTCTTTTGATCCGTGGCAGCACTGTTCCCGTCGTCTTTAGGTGCGTGCCTCTCACTGATGCAATTCTGCTGCAGGGCTGGTGACCTTCGTTAGCTGGGACACATCAAATGCCTTCTTTGGGCAAAAATGGGCCCCAGACCTGTCTCCTTACGTGGTCACGAGGGTGCTTTGTCCTCAGGAGCTTTGTCAAAGTGATGAACGATGCTGACACTTTGATCCTGCAGTGGACAGACCTGCTGGGCCAGGGGTGGGCCAAAAACCTTGGGGCTGGATGTGCCCCGTGAGTCCCCGGAAAGGGGAGCGGGTCTGGCAGAGAGGAGTCCCTCCAGTTTTAATCCCATCCTTAAAACCCTTCTGTTCCTTTTGCAGACATGTCTGCTCTGATTTCACTCAGGAAACGAGCTCAAGGGGAGAAGCCTTTGGCTGGAGCTAAAATCGTGGGCTGTACACACATTACAGCACAGACTGCGGTGAGTGGCTGCTCATCTGGGCCAGGAGCGGGCAGCTTTTCCCCAGGGAACAGAGTCTCTAAGCTCCCTCCTAACCTTGCGAAATAAGAGAAGCTTCCCTGGTTTTGCAGCAGCCCCTCGGAGAGGCTCTGCCGCCCGCGTGTTCCGGGGCCGATGGCTCCTGGAGCCCCGTGCTGACCGCTGGCGTCTGCGTTGCAGGTGCTGATCGAGACGCTGTGCGCGCTCGGGGCGCAGTGCCGCTGGTCTGCCTGCAACATCTATTCCACCCAAAACGAAGTGGCAGCTGCCTTGGCAGAGGCTGGTGAGTTTGACGGAGCCTCGGGGAAGCGGTGCTCCTTCCCAAGTCCCTTCCCTGGTTCCATAGGCTTGTCCTTGCTGCTTTTTAATCCTCTCCAGAAGGTGTAGATCCCTTTGGGAGTGCTTTGCAGCTGCTCTGGAAGCAATGAGGTCTGAAATGAGCCTTAGTAGCTCAGCCCAGGGCAGGGTTTGTGTGCGTGCTGCAACTCCAGAAGGGTCTGGGTTGGTTGCAGGTTTAGCTTTTGTCATGGCAAATGCAAATTAGATGGTAGAGGAAATAATTCTTGTTTGTTTTTGCTGCAAGGAGCAGGCTGGATACCAAGATCCAGAGCTGCTGCCACAGAGGTTTCCAAGAATGGGTTGAACGTTCAGGGAGGGGTAAGCAGGCCTGGTCCTGCTGTGGGCTGGGGTTTCTGGATGGCCTGTTGGCCCCCTGCTTGGCAGCTTTCCCAGAAGGTGCCGTTGTGCAAGGCTGGGCGTCAGGTTCTGCTCAGCGCTTTGCTGGGCTCCTCTGGCTCTTCCGGGCTTGGCAGACGCTCAGGATGCCCTGCTTTTCCTTCTAGGTGTTGCCGTGTTTGCCTGGAAGGGGGAATCGGAGGACGACTTCTGGTGGTGCATCGACCGCTGCGTTAATGTGGATGGCTGGCAGGCCAACATGGTAATGAACCTTCTTTTAGCTCTTCCTCCATGGAGCAGTCACCCGTGGGCTCCTCATCCTCTCGCTGGCACTGCCTGGCTCCTTGGGGCCCTCGGACGCTGCCCTGGCTCCTGTTGGCATCGCAGAGGCCACTGAGCCACTACTAAAGGCAGCAGTCCAAGGCGACACAGCCCGATGGCATGGGAGCATCTCCTGCCAGAGATGTTCTCCATCTCTTTCCCCCTTTCCATCCTCAGCGAGCCCTTTGCTCTTCCTTGCCTGTCCCCTAGATTCTGGATGACGGGGGGGACCTGACACATTGGGTTTATAAGAAATACCCCAACGTATTCAAGAAGATCCGAGGAATCGTGGAGGAAAGCGTGACCGGTGTGCACAGGTAGGAGGTTTGGGAAGGCTGCGTCTCGAGTCTGTCCCACAGAGACAAATCAGCCCTCTTGCTGTTGCTCCTGTTGCATTGCTGCTCTGTGCTCCAGATCTCCCTCTGCTTGGGAGACTGTGCCCTGTGTGGCCACCCCTGGAGAGCCTTGGTGCCTGATGACAGCATTAAGGAGGACTAACTCAGCCAGCTTGTGGCTTTGAGGGCTTTGTTTGTGCATGGGATGGAGTTAAGGTTCTCAGAAGGATGAACTGGGTCTTGCTCAGGCTGCAGGGCTCTGGGAGCATGTGGGTTACCCTGATCTCACCTCTGTGACCTGCCTCGGTCCTCCCGCAGGCTGTACCAGCTCTCCAAGGCCGGCAAGCTGTGTGTCCCAGCCATGAACGTGAACGACTCCGTCACCAAACAGAAATTTGACAACCTCTATTGCTGCCGGGAGTCCATCCTGGACGGGTGAGTCCGGTTCTTCTCCCCATCCCTTTTAACTCTCACGCGGGGATGTGGCTCCCCTCTGCTTTGCGCTGGTGCCGGGGCCTCTCGCTGCCCGGGGCCGGCAGCCGCGTGCGCCTCACTAATGCCAACGCAGGTGTCTCTCTGTCCCCCAGCCTGAAGAGGACCACGGATGTGATGTTTGGAGGGAAGCAAGTGGTGGTTTGTGGTTATGGGGAGGTGAGTTGCATAAGCTCCAGCTGACAGAGCTGTGGGTCAGCACCCCCGAGCCATCCGTCCCCTGGGGCTCTGCCCTGTCCCTGCATGAAGGCCACTCGTCCCTGCTTTAGGAGATCCGACCTCGTGAGCAGTTGCCAAGGAAATCTTGCTAAAGCCTCCTGGGAAGCTGGAGAACAGGCGCCTGCTTTCCCAGCCTGCCTGCGGATTTGCTGGGTTGCAAATACACCAGTTGCTGGGAACATTGGCCTGAATTATCAGTACCCATGGGTGCTCCCATCTGGTGTCCCTGGACTGAATTCAGCAGCCAGCCTGGCCGTCACTGAGCTTGTAAAAGAGGAGGTGGCAGGACAGGCTGGAGCTCGCTGGTGGATAACGCTCTGTTGGGGGGGAAATGGCATGAACTTGCAAATGATTCCGTCCTGGAAGAGCACGGAGCCGGGAGCTGGCACCTTCCTCCATCTGTGTGCCGGCTGCAGGGGTGTTTATCTTTCCGCGCTGCGATGGCCCTGGCAGGAGCTGCGAATGCTCTTCCCGGCGGGAACGTGCTTGCTAATTTATTTAGACACCAGTGGAGCCCAGCTCTGCTCAACCGAGAGGCTGTGCTGGCTCCCGCCCAGCGTTTTGGGGCTGGCGTGTGGCTCTCCAGCTGCGAGATGTGCTGGGATTTGGAGTCTGGGGACTCGCCCTGAGTTTTGCCCGATTTCTTCAAACCAGGGTAGCCCTTCCACTCTCACTGGATTTCCCTTTCGGATGTGGATTGGAGGCCTGGGCTGTCCAGCATAGCTATTTTCAGCCAATCTGAACTTGGAGCTGGGTGATAGATGAGGATGTCTCTGGGGATGTTTCTTCTGCAGCTTTCTTGACGACCCCCAAAATGGGGCTGATCCTGTGCGCGTGCAGATTAGCAGGTGTTGCTGTGGGTTAGGAGCATGGAAAACCGGGCTCTGCTGGGATACTTCAGTGTCATTTCATAGCAGAGGGGAGGGCTGGAGTCAGAGCTGCTCTTATGTGGGCTCTGCTCTTCCCCATGCCCATGTGGGGAGCAAGGGACGGACGATCCATCCCCAGTCTGCACAGGAGAGCTCTGAATGCCAAAGGAGCCCTTTGGTTTGAAGGTGAGTGGGAAAAGTCCACGCTCCTCCAGATGGGCTCGAACCCCATCTCAGAGATTTGAAGGAGAGATCCGAAGGGCTCCCACGATGCTGGGGCCTGCTCAAGCTGCAAACGTGTCGTGTTTTGGGAGCTTCCCAACTGCTCCAGGTGGGTGGCCTCGGAGGCAGAAATGGTGGTGGAATCACTCCAGAGCCAGATTTGCAGGCTGGTCCCTGGCATGGGGCAGAGGGCTGGGATTAGCATCTCGCAGGGTGTTTTGAGGACGGTGGGGCTGCTGTAACGCCCGCTGTGTCCTGCAGGCTGCTTCATGCTGTCACGTTGTCTTGGCAGGTTGGCAAGGGCTGCTGTGCCGCTCTGAAAGCCCTGGGAGCGATAGTCTACGTCACGGAGATTGACCCCATCTGCGCTCTCCAAGCCTGGTGAGAGATGTTACCTCCTGCTCATGAGCAGCTCTTCCTTTGCACCCTACAACATTTGTAAGAGCAAGTGTGACACCTGAACCTTTGCACAGCCCTTCCACCTGCATCTGGCGTTCCTGGGGGTGTGCATGGATAGTCTGGCTGCTGTTGTGGGCAGTTCAGAGCTGCTTTAGCAACCAGGGTTCCTCCTGGCCTGGGGAATAGGTTCTCCTCATCATCTCTGTCCCCCTTTTCCACCAGCATGGATGGATTCCGGGTGGTGAAGCTGAGCGAAGTTATCCGCCAGGTGGACGTGGTCATCACCTGCACAGGTATGGCATGGAGGTGGGGTGGTGAGGGAGCATTTGTTCCCGAGTGGGTGCCTGGAGGCAGGATCGGTGGGAGACTTTGGGAATAGAGGGCAGTTTGCTGGCACGTGCTGCTGATTTGACACGAGCGCTCTGCTCTTGGACCGTAGCCCTCCCTAGCACTTGATGGGGGACTTCATAGCCAAGTGTTCCCAAATATGTATTGTGAAAATGTGTTTTGGGGTCTCTTGGGGCCTGGTGAATTCATGAAACCAAAGATGAACTCTTTTTACATGTCCCACTGTGGTGACAGCCAGGAGGGCTCTTGTCCTGGCTGAGATTCACCCAATGTTGCTCCAGGCTGGGCTTCTCCGCACCAAAAGCAGGGAAGCAGAAATTAAAGGGTTTGTATTTCCTTTGCCTTGGATTCCCTTGTGCCCGAACCTGCCTGCAGGAAACAAGAACGTCGTGACCAGAGAACACCTGGATCGGATGAAAAACAGCTGTATCGTGTGTAACATGGGCCACTCCAACACCGAAATCGATGTGGTGAGTCTGCCCGCAGCCGCTGCCCGCCCGCTCCGTCCTGCTGCTCTCAACCGCGTCACTGAGCGCTTCCTGGTGCCCGCCCGGGCTCCCATCCCGGGATAACTCGGCCTTTTCCCCTTTCTCTCGCAGACCAGCCTCCGGACCCCGGAGCTGACCTGGGAGCGCGTCCGCTCGCAAGTGGACCATGTCATCTGGCCGGACGGGAAGAGGGTGGTGCTGCTGGCTGAGGTATGTTGGGGCCTGTGCCCGGGTGTTTTGGGAAGGTGGGATTTTCTCCTTTCTGGGGTAAAGCAAGCACCGTGACCACATGTGGTCAAGGAGGTGCCATGTGGCTTGTCCTTCAGAGCCAGGAGCTGTGCACATCCACACAATGCCGTCTGCATCTGGCTTTGACATTTGTGGTCCTTGAATCCCTGAGCTCTAGCTACTCGCTGCCCCAACAGAGACTTGGTTCGGTTTGTCGCTGCCTCGAGGACAAGCTGAGCTCTTGGCAAACTCTCCTGCTTTTTCCTAGGGACGTCTTCTCAACCTGAGCTGCTCCACGGTTCCCACTTTTGTCCTCTCCATCACGGCCACCACTCAGGTTGGGACACGGCAGGGTCGGGGCGCACAGGGCGGGCTGGTGCTCTGGAGCCTTGCATGAGCCTTGGGTGCAGGGACAGTTCGGAAAAAGCTTGGAATGTGCTGTGGGATGGGTGCTGGGGATCCCGCTGGAGCAAGGGATGCTCTTGCCACTGCCTCTTGTCTGGAATGCGGTTCTTTGGTTGGAAGGTCCTGGCTGGAAGGGAGCTTGGAGTGTTTCCGCAGTGCCGTACGCCGCCAGGGAGATGCCCTGGAGTCGACTTCCTGCCATCTGTAGAGCCGGGCTGTGTTTTCTCGATTGCTCCATCCCCAAAACGGGCAAACCGGGGGGGCTGCGGGTTAATGGTTAAAAAGCTTGTGAGCGTCCATGGCCTCCTGGCTGGGTGGGACCCGCCTTGTGAACTGCGCTGCTTGCCAGGGCTCTGCCTTTCCAAGGAAAACCATGACTAAGTGCAGCTCGACCCTGCGAATCGCCCTCGGTCCGCGCTGTATGGACAGCACCTTGCCGGGGCAGCCGAGGCCTGCGGACATCCGAGGAGACCCCCGGGCTGCCAACACGGAGCTGCCTCTGGATAGTCGGGGGGGCACCGATGGGGAGGAATTTGCTTTTCCCTGTGCTTAATCTATTCAAAGTGACGGGGACCGGGTGATGTTCTGTGCCTGGCACTTGGGGGAAGATGCAGATTTAATACTGCTGAATTAGCAGGAGCATCCCAGCTCCTTCTCTTCCCTTATGGCTCCGTCCCTGACTGTCCCCGGGCTGTCTGTCCCCCTTGGTCCCTGCAGGCTCTGGCTCTGATCGAGCTCTACAACGCTCCCGAGGGCCGCTACAAACAGGACGTCTACTTGCTGCCCAAGAAGATGGGTGAGTGAGGGGAACTATCTGCTCCGCACCCAGCAGCGGGTTTTTCCACTGATTTGTCCTCCTTGGGGCCAGCAATTTTGGACATAAAGGAGAAATTCAAATCTGGGCTGGACCAAACATCCAGGGAGAGGATGGTTCGGGGAAACCAGCATCCTTCAAGCACCTGCTGGTGGTTCAGTCTGTTGTCCTTGATGCATCTTGGCTTTCCTTCTCATGGAAATTTCCCGGTTCTTACATAACCCTGCGCCTCTCGGCGTGTATCCAGCGCTGCTCAGCGCCGTGGCGTGGGCTGAGCAATGCGTCAGGGTTACGCAAGGGTGAAAACACGGTGCTAAACAGCAGCTAGACCCTGTTTTAGCCCCCTGTCCCCATGCGCGGTCGCAGTGGCGTCCCCTTTCTCATGCCACGGGGCAAATGCAATGCCCCGGCTCCCCAGAGGCCGCGGGGCAGCGTGCAGCTCCCCGAGCCCCGCTCTCCTCTCCCCCTTGCAGACGAGTACGTGGCCAGCTTGCACCTGCCTTCCTTCGACGCCCACCTCACGGAGCTGACGGACGATCAAGCGAAATACCTGGGACTCAACAAAAACGGGCCTTTCAAACCCAACTATTACAGGTCGGTGCCCGGGGACAGCGACGCAGGGCAGGGAGCTCCGTTCCCGGACACCCCGGCTCCATCCCTGGGCCCCCGCGGCCTCACTGGCCCTTCCCTTCTCTTCCAGATACTGACGGACCATGTCCATGAAGGACCAGACCACACAAGGCAAATTTTAGAGAGATTATTTTTAAAGATCCTTTTACTTTGTTTTCTCTTATTTGTTCTTGTTTTTAACCAACAAAGTTTTTACGTTTCTTTTATCAGTGTGATTTTAAGGCCACTTCTTTTTTTCCCCCCTCCGTTTCCCCCTTCCCTGTGATCGCATCCCAGACTGACCTTGGCAGACAACCTGGGATTCGCTTCCTGCTCGGACGTGGCTGAAGCCGCCGGTGGCTCCCAGCCCTCGCTGCCAGCAAAGGGGGGGTTCCCTTTCCTGACTCGCGAAGGGCAACTCATTCCTGCAACGATGGTTATTTTGTTATTGTTATTCCTGTTATTGTTTTTTTTTTGACCTTTCCAGCCTGATTTCGTCTGGGCTGGGCTACCCGCAGCTACGGCGATGTCCTTCTCCCTTCCCCTTACGTTTCGTTCTTTGTGTGGATTCTCTGCAACTTCTAAATTGCCTTAAAGAGCCCAGTTTTAGCTGCTAGATCAGGGCTCCCGGCGCTGCCTGGGAGCCGAGTGGCGCCTGCTGGCCACCTCGCGAATAGGTGACTGTCCCCAGCCTGGCGGCTGGTGGCCCCGTGCGGGCCCGGCTGCGGAGGGGGTAGTTCACTGTTTGAGGGTGCTAATTCGGACGGGGGTCACTTACCCAGCATTATCCTCATCTCTCTCTCTTTTTTTTTTAACCAAACTGCACCTTAATTGAGTTAAAAATGTTCTTGTGTATTTTTTTTCTTTCTTTCTTTCTTTCCCACCCTCTTTTCCTTTTTGGTTCTTAAAAAGATGTTTGAACAGAGGGGAAGTGGAGGGGCCGCCCTGCAGGGGCCCAGCTCTTTTGTTTTTTTTTTTTTTAAGGTTTCCCGGGGTTCATTTTGGGGGGGTTCCATGCGGTTTGGA